GTGTGCTCGGAGCCATGGTTCAGATTTGTGGTTCTGGAACTGTCTTAGGTCTCTTCTCATCTCTGAGGCCAGGCGAGACACTTCGCCGTGGACTTCAAGTCTGCTGCCACAACTCCAGGATACCGCCTGGTGGAACCGCCTCTTTCAAACGTCATTAAAGCAACTTTCTCTTTCACCAGGACCATTCTCATGATGGGCCGCTACGTTGAACCCATCGAGGACGTGCCTTGTGGAAACATTGTTGGTCTGGTTGGTGTCGACCAGTTCCTTGTGAAGACTGGAACCATCACCACCTTCGAGCACGCTCACAACATGAGAGTCATGAAGTTCAGCGTCAGCCCTGTTGTGCGCGTGGCTGTGGAAGCCAAGAACCCAGCTGACCTGCCCAAGCTGGTGGAGGGACTGAAGCGTCTTGCCAAGTCTGACCCTATGGTGCAGGTGAATGTCCAAAATGGTTTTGGGGACAGGAGAAATCCCGGTTCTGCTGGCACAGGAGGCTTCTGCCTTTAACTGTGGTTGTACTGGGGAAGCTGGCAGGTAAGTCTTGAGTTGAGTATTGGTCCCAGTCCTGGCAGAGCGGGAAGGAATACTGCGTTTCACCTTGGGGTTGGTGCTGAGTCATCCCCAGATCAGTGGAAAGAGCATCTAAAAGTAGCTCTGTGAGTCAAAGACTCATCGGAGACAGTCACTAGTATTTTCTGTGCGAGAGCTTTTGTTGCATTGCAGTCAAAAACCTCACCGCTTGTGTAAATGTGGTTTGTTTTTTTTTTTTTCTTTAGTGCATCATTGAGGAGTCTGGGGAGCACATCATCGCTGGCGCGGGGGAGCTGCACTTGGAGATCTGCCTGAAGGATCTGGAAGAGGACCACGCGTGCATTCCTATTAAGGTAGAGGGGCTGCAGTGGCAGAGCTGTTGGTGAGCTCTGAGCAGGTATCTGGTGAGCTGCCGTTTGGTTGGTGGCTCACTGCTCTTCTCTGCTCTTTGTCACCACAGAAATCGGATCCTGTTGTGTCCTACCGTGAGACGGTCAGTGAGGAATCCAACGTGATGTGCCTTTCCAAGTCCCCCAACAAACACAACAGGCTGTACATGAAGGCCCGGCCCTTCCCAGATGGCTTGGCTGAAGACATCGACAAGGGCGAGGTCTCTGCTCGTCAGGAGCTGAAGCAGCGCGCTCGTTACCTGGCTGAGAAGTACGAGTGGGACGTCACTGAAGCCAGGAAAATCTGGTGCTTTGGTCCCGATGGCACTGGCCCCAACATCCTGACCGACATCACCAAGGGAGTGCAGTACCTGAACGAGATCAAGGACAGCGTGGTGGCCGGCTTCCAGTGGGCGACGAAGGAGGTAAGGGACAGTGCCTGGCTCTGGTCGCGGCAGGGCTGGGATCGCTCCGGGGCAGGTGGTGTGCGGCGTTACAAATGGCTACCGTACATCTTCTCAAAGAAGTTTTGGAAAAACTGTCACATACAGTGCAATGTATTTATAATTCAGAAGTATCTTTTAGGGTAAGTGAAACTTGCTGACAGCTGGAATGGAGGTGTCATACCAGTTCAGCCACACACACAAACCTCAAGACAAAAAGCTTTCTCCCAGCACTGCAGAAAAATTCATCGTGGCAGCATGTACTTAAAATTTTAAAAAGCTTTTCAGAGGGCAAAATGTAACAACAGGGACGGAAATTACTGAGATGAATAACACAACTGGCGTCAAAAGAAAATGAAAGGAACTCAGCAAAGATCTGGCCTTGTTTACCAATTATTTTTTTCAGGACTAGACAGGAGATGACTCGAGAATAACGAGTTGACAGGTAGACGGGGAACAGCAACAGGAGAGGTTTTTTTCGTGTTGACTTTTTTTTTAGTTAGTCTCGGTCTGAAGAAGATGGTACCATGCCAACAGCTTTTTTTTGTCCTAGTAGTGTGAAAAACTACTCCTGGCCAAACGCTTGAGTTGCAGCATCATAAATGTGTGTCAGCACTTCTGCTGCGGATGCGAACCTCAGAGGTGTTGTGTGAAGACATTGGTAAATGGTTTTGGTGCCTGAAGCCACCTCTGAAGAGCTGTGGTGGTGGAGGCAGGAGTCGCTGCTCCTTTGGTCCTAGGCAAGGAAGATGACTTGCCAAATGGCTCCTTGCTGTGCCAAGCGGGCTCTTGTGCTTCCTGCTCTAGGACCCACTTCCAGGGAATGCCCGTAAGCCGGGGGACCGGAGCCTTCTGGCAGGGAGCGCCGGCTGTCCCCCGACACGGCGTTGCTTGACCTCCTGCTCTGCTTTTCCAGGGGGTCCTGTGCGAGGAGAACATGCGTGGCGTGCGTTTTGATGTGCACGATGTCACCCTGCACGCCGATGCCATCCACCGCGGAGGCGGGCAGATCATTCCCACTGCCAGGAGATGCCTGTACGCCTGCGTGCTCACCGCTCAGCCCAGGCTCATGGAGCCCATCTACCTTGTGGAAATCCAGGTGAGGAACCTCTGCTCAGCCCAGAAGGTGCTGTGTGAAGAGAACGTGAGCAGGCGGTTTGTGGTCCTGATGCCTCTCTCTCTTGCAGTGCCCGGAGCAGGTGGTCGGTGGCATCTACGGGGTGCTGAACAGGAAGCGTGGCCACGTGTTTGAGGAGACCCAAGTGGCCGGCACCCCCATGTTCGTGGTGAAGGCCTACCTGCCTGTCAACGAGTCCTTTGGTGAGTGTCCTGGTCCTGGGCATGTGGCAGCTCCCAGGAGCTTGATACCAGCCCTGGGAAGGACGGAGATCCTTTGTGGCCGGCTGTCTGATGGCAACGGTTGTAGAATCATTTAGGTTGGAAAAGACCCTTAAGATCATGGAGTCCAACTGCTGACCCAGCACTGCCAAGGCCACCACCAAACCATGTCCCCAAGCACCACATCTCCCCGGCTTTTAAATCCCCCCAGGGGTGGGGACTCAGCCCCTGCCCTGGGCAGCCTGGGCCAGGGCCTGACAGCCCTTTGGGGAAGAAGTTTTTCCCAATACCCAACCCAAAGCTGCCCTGGCGCAGCTTGAGGCCGTTCCATACCCCCCGCCATGAGCAGGGACATCTTCAACCAGATCAGGTTGCTCAGAGTCCCATCCAACCTGGCCTTGAATGTTTCCAGGGATGGGGCATCCACCACCTCTCTGGGCAACCTGGGCCAGTGCTTCACCACCCTTGTTGTAAAGAGTTTCTTCCTTATATCCAGTCTGAATCTCCCCTCTTTTAATTTAAAACCATTCCCCCTTGTCCTGTCACTGCAAGCTCTACTAAAAAGTCTGTTCCCGTCTGTCTTGGAAGTCCCCTTGAAGTACTGAGAGGCCACAGCGAGGTATTCTAGAGCCTCCCAGCCCTTCCGAGGGGCGCGGTGGTCGCCATCTCTGGAGGCTTTTGGGTTCCTTGGCTGTAGCCACACCGGTGGTGACCCGGAGTGCGGGTTCTGACACCAAACTACGCCCGTTCTTCCACCTCACCCCCTCTCTTCTTCCTCACAGGTTTTACGGCGGATTTGCGGTCCAACACGGGGGGCCAGGCTTTCCCCCAGTGCGTCTTTGACCACTGGCAGATCCTGCCCGGGGATCCCTTCGACAGCGCCAGCCGGCCCTGCCAGGTGGTGGCCGAGACCCGCAAACGCAAAGGGCTGAAGGAAGGCATCCCCGCCCTCGACAACTTCCTCGACAAACTCTAATTAAACTCGTTGGACTCTTGGGAAAGGGGGGGGAATTAATTAATTAGCGTTAACGCCCGTGCGAAGGGGTAGATGCCCGTGACCACCATCTCTTTGCATTGTTAATTAATCGGTTTCATAGCGATTTGAGACTTTGAATGAGGAGAGAAAAAAAAAAAAGCCTTATAGGTTTCTGTGTTGCACATGCCTCATCTTTGCCATTGTAACTAAAACATTTCCACTAGATTTGCCCAATTCTGTATTTATTTGACTCAAAAGCGTTTCTGCGGAAGGTGAGAAGGAGGAAAGGCCCTCCTTCATTTCTCCCAAAATAAAACCGGGGTAAAAAAATCGATGCAAAACGAGGAAAGGGTGTGACTGTCCGTCGTGACCATCGCCGCCTGTGTTAGTGCCACTGGAATTAATAAAATTGGATAATGGTGAACGATGGTGCTTTGGGTGCTTTTCCCAGGCGGGAGTGGGGCGCCCCCTTGCGGGCGGGAGGACCTGGTGGCGGGGCGGGGGGGACACCAGCGCGCCCAGCCTTGGCTCCGCCCATCCGCTCCC